GGGGGAAGCACAACAACGTCAGCAGCACGCTCCACAACAACCGCGGTGACGAATGAATCACGTAAACACACGGACAGCAGCAAGGGGCATGCTGGGTAATGTTGTCTCTTGATTGTGTCTCGTGGAGCATAAATTGAATTATTTAGCTTAAAGCAGCAGATAAATGGCTAAAATATTTAGCTAAAAGTAATGTAAAACGTTCCGCCTCTGCCTCTCTACGTGGCAGCAGTGTGAATGCAAACCAAACCTACACTTGATTCATGAATAACTTTACTTTCAGCGCTGAGATGCTGTAATAAATACGAGTGTAAATCGATCCCTCCTGGCCTGTTGGGAGTTTATGGAGCTGCTGAGTGCAGCTTCTTACCCGGGCCAGGTACTTTATCTGTGTGTCAGATGTGATGCAGGCGTTGCCATCCTCTCCACCGTACTGCACGTTGCCCAGGTGGAGCACACTGGCAATTATGTTGAGCAACTCCTACAGAGAGGTAAGGAAGGACAATAAAGAAGAATATGAGGAGAAACATGAAGGATGAGTTATTACAAAGAGGTGGAGACGGAGAGAACAAAGGTAACGAGAGGCTGCAGCACAATAAAGATTATAATTTATGACCGAGTTGGCAGATAAAGGCGTGCTTGATTAAAATGAGGTCAAGAATTGAGCAGGAGAGGAGTGCAGCAACGCTCATAGTAGAGCTGCACACACTCACTACTGCTCTATCAGAAGTGTGAGATCTAAGAAACAACAATAAAAAGCTCTGGAAGCAAGCCCAGACCCATGAAGCATGTAGGAGGACTAAAGTAAAAATAAGTTCTCACCATATAATAACAACCACACACACGTCTAACACCCACAGTGCTCGTCTGAAGCAGAAACAGCCTCCTCAGTGTTCAGAGTGAAGTGTAATGTTTGTTAAAGGGGTAAAGAGGTGAACCTCAACTCTAAAGTATTAAGTAGCTGTCAAAGAAGAGAAGATGCAACATGTTCCGTGCATACGATTCACAAAGCTGGTAATACGTAGCTCTGTCTACTCACAATGTGTATAACTGTTAATTACTGTTTTTAACTGCCTGCAGAAGCACCTCGTTCATCCACACCGACCCTTTACGTTACGTACACAGCTCGGAGACTTACCTCCACATCGTCCTCGCTGAAGCCAATCACAGTCAAGGCTTTCCTCACCGTCTTCCAATCACTGCGGTCGTTGATGGAGCTCACTTTGGGACAGTTACCCTTTGGAAAACACACACACACACACACACACACACACACACATTATCACTCTGAACACACTATATATTTATCATCTACTTCTATGAACAGCTCCAGCAAAATACATAACAGTAGGTTGTAAATAGCTGTTTACACGTAAAGTAAACACCTGTTTACACAAACACACGTGAGGTGTTATTGACCGGTAGCTCTGTGTGTGTGTGTGTGTGTGCATCAAGGGAAAGGTTCAGCTCGTGCCTTGAGGCAGATTTCCCCCCCTGAGGAAAGCTCCTCATGCTGCACTGAGGGTCCCTGACTGAGAGCCTATTAACCAGAACTCCCACTGGGACGGACGGACAGACACACACACACTCTCTCTCTCGCTCGGTCACACACACTCTCTCACACACACACACACACACACACACACACACACACACACACACACACCAACATACACACACAAGAGTAGAGATAACGTCTTCTAATAACACGTACGAAAACTTAAACTGATTTATTTTAGGGTGTCTAAAATACCTCGACAGCAGTACATTGCTATGAAGTACTACACTCCAAAAACTTCAAATTATCCCTTTTAAAGTACTCGATACTTACTTTGACCAGGTACTGGTACTGCTGAGGGTTCCTCTCCAGGCCCAGGCTTCTCAGCAGGTCCTCCTCTCCTCCCTCGATCAGCTGGTAGAAGATGTGGAAGTTCCTCTCCCCGTGGTTCTGGTGGACCACCCGAGACTTCTCCAGCAGGTAGTTGATGATGTGGCCTCCCACTGGGGCGCCCTGCCGACGGGATAAAGGCCAGGGAGGGAGGGGGGGGGGAGGGTGAGAGGAGGAGGAGGAGGAGGAGGAGAGGGTGAGGCTGGGGTACTGAATGACGGAGGGTTCATACAACATGCATGACAGGGATTTTGTAGTCCGAAACATATTTTGAGAACCCAGAAAAAAAGGGATCGCAGGAGGAAGGAGTGATGTGATTAAGTACACACAAACAAAACACAGAGTCTATGTAAAAATACAGAAAACAAAGTATATTTACATCGTTATATTATCAAGAAAACCACAACTATACTAGGGAAACTCAAAGTATCAGTCGGAGTAAATCAGACTGTCACGCTCACCTTGAAGTCAAACTGGATGTCCATGTATTTGCCAAAGCGGCTCGAGTTGTCGTTACGCAACGTCTTGGCGTTGCCGAAGGCCTGGAGAGGATAGAAGGGGATAAGGAAAGGAGAGGAGTGATGAGTGACGGATTAAGAGGTAGAGAGATAACAGGGAACACAGAGAGAGAGACAGACAGACAGACACAGAGAGAGAGAGAGAGACAGACAGACACAGAGAGAGACAGAGAGAGAGAGAGAGAGACAGACAGACACAGAGAGAGACAGAGAGAGAGAGACAGACAGACACAGAGAGAGACAGAGAGAGAGAGAGAGAGACAGACAGACACAGAGAGAGACAGAGAGAGAGAGACAGACAGACACAGAGAGAGACAGAGAGAGAGAGA